AAGTGGAAATTCAGTATTCTGAAATGTGACAGAACTCACATCTTGGCTGAGAGCCAAGACACACTGGGACCACACAGTAACAGAGAAAGTTGCCAGTGATCCTTATTTCTATCTGCAGAGTTTCTGGAAGCTGCAAAGTAGATCAGCAATATCTATATTTATGAGATCAGTTTTCTAGGGCTAGATCTTCAGAGCAGACTCCTTCAAGTGAAGAATGCAAAGTGGAAAACTCACCGTCTGCCATGAGACAGTCACTATCTGAAAGCACTCCTACACACCTTGGCTGAATGGATGGTGGATCGTGGCCAAGTGCTACATCCTACATTTAGATCTAGGTCCCTCAGTTGCTCAGGCCATTGTGTGTGCAGAGGCCCGTGGGCCAGCAAAACAGGTGAGGCTGGAGATCTTGGCCCTTAACAACTCAGCCAAATACCCAGAATAGAAATCTGACTTCTAAAGGCATATGGAACAGTTTGGACTGGTCTGGTGGTGCTTCAAGGGAGCAGGAGCTCACTCTTACACTAAGCTTTCTTCTTGATGGACTAGATCACACCTGGAACCAGTGGAAAGAATTTACTAAATATGACCTTTCCTAGAGCAATGAAACGTGAATGGTGCCTACACAAAGGAAAGTAGAAAGGCTTGGTATCACTGATATGCTTCATAGCATATCAGTGGATATCAGAAGGATAAATCTAAAGGAAAAGACAGATGATACTGATAATGACAGATGGGAGGGCATTTAGAAGAAGCTGAGTTTCTACTTGGCTTTGTAAAAAGTCAATCTTGAGCCGCCAGGCATAGTGCTACATGGGAGACAGAGGTGGGGAAGGATAATGGTTTGAAGCCAGCCTGGGCAAAAAAGTTAGCAAGACCCTTTCCAAACAAATAAGCTTGGTATGATGATCATGCCTGTAATCCCAACCATGCAGGAGACATAGGTAGGAAAATCCCACTCTGAGGTCATCTCTGGGTTAAAAAGCATCAGGTCCTATATGAAACAGACAGACAAAGAAACAACAAAACAAACCTCAAAGCAAATAGGGCTGGAGCACTAGGCACAGCATGTATCAGGCCCTGCTTTAAAACAAAAGAATCCATGCTGTTATCCTCAATAAAATCATACAGGCTAGTATTATCGAATATATGTTTCCCATTTACGCTGGCCTTTATTGTGTCACGGGAAATATTGTTGTCTATCCTTGTGACACCTAATTTGAAGGGTTTGCTAAGTCATTACTAGGATTTGTCTGGATGTTCTGCTAGCATTAGAGGCCTCTAGCTAGTAACTGCTCCTTTCTCAGGGAGGGGGCTAGAGTGTCAGACTACAACCCTGCACTGGCTTCTCCGACAACTTTTCCAAATCCTCCCCATCCCTTCTTCATCTGTTTTTGTAATCCCTGATAGGCTATCCTTTATGACTGCCCTTGATTTTCCCATGTTTTCATCCTTATCAGTGGCCTCACTTGATATCTACCAAGTTCTGGATGGCTTGATTCACTACTCTCAGCTGTTGTAGCCTTATGAACGTATCCCACACTACGTATGAAAAAGGCACTTCTATTTTCTGTTACGCAAAGCACTGGGCAAAAGGACTGCCTAAAAACCCTACCTCTTGATGAAAAACACTGCAGGAAACTGTGATTCTGTCTTGTTTTAAACTAGGTAGTCCCTGTTTTCACCTGATACTCTGAGAACACCAGTTTGCAAAGCACAGATGTTACTAGAAAAGAAAAATAATAATCCATGATCAAATAAGCCTGGGAAATGCTGGATTAAATAAAATTGGAGAGCTTTCTTTCTTATATGACTTTTCAGATCCTTTGATCTACTAATTGCAGCAGGATGCTTGAAGATAGAGTTAAAATATGCAGCACTGTTCCCCAAATTCTTTGCCCCCTGAATCTTTGTATCAAGATTTCCCTCTTGGGACTAATGTTCCTGCAGTTACTTTGGGAAATGCTAGTGTGGACTTAATAATACTTGGGTACAGCTTTTCTTGAGGAGAAATAAAAATCATAGTTAAAAAAAAAGGACAGAAAAAGAAATGGAAAAAATATAATTCTGTAAGTGCCTGGCAATACTTGAATTTCCTAAGGAAAAAAAAAGTTTCTCTGGAAACATAGCAAAGTGGCTGATTTTTTTCATAGTTCCTCATTCCATGAGTTTGATTTCTTAATAAAGCTCAAAAGGCAACATGAATATTTTATAGCCTTTCTTCCTTCCCTTCCTTCCTTCAGAGGATGTTGGCCAACCCTGAGGGAAGGCCTGGGCTGGAAGAGTCCCAGGAAGGGAGCTGGGAATCCTGAGGAGATTTTTCTCCTTTACATCAGCTCACCTAACTTAGGGACATTACAGTCATTTGGTGAAATTCCATCTGAAAGAATCTACTGTAAAGACCCTTGTGCAATCTCATGCTGATAGAGAATTTCATTGTCTCCTAGGAAGTAGCTCTATTACAGGTATTATTATACATAGATTATACCTTGATTAGTGTACACTGATTACAGAGTCTGTAATCAATTGGAAAAAACTTCCTAGCCTTTAACAACCATTGAACTCTGGGACTGAGTATATTGATATTTAGGTTGCTGGTTACTCAACCTCAAGTCTTCAGTGCAGAGGAGGGAATCATCTCCTATAGCTAGGAAACCAAGGACATCTGGCCCAGGAGATCCAGCTATTTCCAAAACTAGAGCCACCTTAATGTCACAGTAGGGCTCCTTGTTTGATTTCCCTTTTCCCATGTAAAGGATTAGGTTTAGGGTTACTGTATCAATACAGCCTGATAGCCTTGGTGGTTCCAGATTAAAACTATAAAAATTATCCTTCAGGACAAAGAGTATTTCACTCGTACCATATATTTCTGTAGGGTAAGTTCCTAAGCTATGGGCCCTAATTAAATTATAATTGTATTTTATCTGTTTGTTCTGATCAATATGATGCAGGAAAGAATTGAACTAGACATGAGGAGACCTGGATTCTTGTGCTACAACTGGATGGCAAGCTCCCTAAAGACAAGAGTTGTATCTTGCTAGTTGTGTTCTCCTTCCGGCTCTAAATCTGGGCTCATATGGAATCTGAGTTGCAGAGTAAAAATCTAGCTGCAGGAATGCCAGCCAGGTTTTCCCCTCTCAAGGCAAAACTGGAGAAGTGGCGAGACTTCCTGCTTTCACGTTCATGCTTTGTTTCTGGTATCCACATCAGTGGAGGATGTGAAAGTGGAAGACTATCACCATCTTCTTGATATTAGCTGTAAGAAAGCTGTATCCGTGTCTGAGTGCCATGCCTCAGCTAGACACTCTTCAGAGAATGCTAACTCTTCTAGGAAGGGCCCTACCCTTGAGCAATCATTTCTGTCTGGGGCAATCTCGAGTGTCTGTAGACCAGCGAAGCAGGTGAGATATTCTAGCTGTGATTACAGATCTCTGGCAATATCATTCACGAGCCAGATAAATTTGATCTGGTGACCATTTCCAGCAGGACATATTAGAGTATGTACATGCCTCTGTGCTGGGACTAAGCCAGTGTGTTGTTATCTCAGCAGGTTCTCTTCTGACTGACTCCTCTCATTTTGCTTCCAATTCTTCTTTCTGCTTTGTAAGTGCTCTCTGCTCTGTCTGGGGGAAAAGGGAAACCCAGGGTGGCCTACTAGCATGTGTGGCTGAGAGGAAAAGCCAAGGAAGTCTGCAGGTTTCTCACCAGTAGAACCTCATCCTGACTCTTCATGGAAGAATGCCAAAAAGCAAAGTATGCCAAAGGGCAGAGACTAAATGAGAGTCAAGAGATTCAGTTAACATTATAGGATATCAGGTCTGCTGAGGCAGTTGAGTGTGAGTGGGAAGTAGTGCTAGTAAGCACAGGATACATAAAAACAAATGAAACTGGGGGCTGGTGCTCACTAACCATCACAGTTTGAAGCCCCAGCAGTAAAGTCCTATTTCTAAGTCACTACCAAAAAAGCTGGAAGTGGAGCTTTGACTCAACTGGTAGAGTGCTAACCTTAAGGAATAATATCTCAGGGATAGCACCCAGGCCTTGAGGTCAAGCCCTAGGACCAGCACACACACACACACACACACACACACACACACACACACACACACACACACACACCAAAAACAAAACAAAACAAAAAAAAAACAAGATAGACAAAATCATTCTCTCTCTACTTTCAGATCTCAAAATTAAAAGCCATTTTTAAGAGCTAAAAAGAATGACCTGGTGCCTTTCCACAGGTAGCTTCGGAAATCCAGATGTCTTACAAGGACATCTTACACAGTGTTGGAGTCTGAGGGCAAATGCTTTAGAGCACAAGGGTCAAGCTTCTAATACTATGTTCTATATAAATAGCTCCCCCTGGAGTTGTACTTCTGGCAAAACATCTTTAAGACTGAATCAACTTTTCTGGGATATTAGTGACATGAGGTGAAAAGAGTCATCTGGAAAAAAAAATTAGGAGCATCATAAGCACCTCTTCCCCTGCAAGCAATTAAAATCTTCCATGCACAGGTAATTCTACCAAGCCCTTCTCTCCATGTCTAAAGGCATCCACACTTACCCAGAACAGTCCTCTGCTTTTGCCTCCCCTTTTATACCTCTCCTACTAGAATATATTGTATAAATTACATTACACACACACACACACACACACACACACACACACACACACACACACACGGATAAAAGGTAAAGAGAAAAGAAAACCATGCTAATATTGCCAATACTGTTCTGATAGTTTGCACCTGATTTCCTAACTTGCATATGATTTACCTTCAACAGTTTTTCATGAAACACTACCAGTTTTTGCACTTGGTGAGTGAATGTGAAAGTAGTTGAAAACTGTAGGCAGATTTTGTTTTTTTGTCAGTCCATCTTTTCACTTGCTTCATTTAGTCAAGGGGAAGATAGGGTCCAACTCAAATAAACCAAACTCCTTGACTTCACTGGCTGCAAGGCCAGCAAAATGGATTTCTCTTCTTCTTGTTTTTACCCCACCATTAATTTGCATCACTAAGGAATTTTCTAGGAAAGAACTCAGCAAACTGGAGGTTTCTTTGGTTGCCAAGCTCATGGAAACAAAGTGCTTTCTTTTCAAACAGGGAAAGAGACATTCCAACGTAACCCACCATTAGATACTGAGCCAGCACTACACTACATATCTATGAAAGAAGAAAGGAGGGGAGGAAAGAAAACACATAACATAAACAAGAAAAGACAAAACCTGAAAGAGGAAGGAGAAAGGAAAACATTTAGATTCTTTGAGTGATGGAAATAAATACCAAAGCTATTAGTTTCAGTTCAAAGAACATATCACTTTATGCTGTTTATTATTTCTTAAGGATTATTTATTTTATCTTAAAATATCCAAAGGGTAAAAGGAGTTCTGGAGGTAAGCAGTGATGAAACTCACCTGGTCTGGAGAGGGCCTGTGGTTGGAATGTTGGGACCTCCCAGGAGATCGGTGGTGGTGGTGATGGTGGTGGTGGTGGTAATGGTGATGGTCTTCATCGTAGCTGTCTGCCATCAGCTTCATTCTGTTCTGAGTCTGCACAGAACAAAAGCCAGGGAAGATTCCATCAGCAGCTGGAGGACAGGCCAAAGAGACTCCGGAATAATGACAGCATCTATAGGGCTTGCTTTATTCCTAATCCAGAAGTCTCATTTTGAGTCAAATAAAAATGTAATAAAGATGGAATCACCGTGTTAGCTTTAGTGAAAGAGGCTTTGTCACACTCTTGAGACTACTCTGTTATATCTGTACATGTCAATGTACTTCCCTTTCTGATTTACAAGGGAAACAAAAATACATATCCTAAGCTGTTTTGGTTTATATTATCAAGCAATCACAGAGATCCAGAGTAAGCTTACAATCACAAAGTGCCAACAGTCATATCCTACACCACAGAGCAAGCCTGAGAAGGAGGGCCTGGAAGGGATGCTGGGAAAGGTCTGGGTGGCAACACAGACCTACAGACAAACAACTGTCTCACAAGACAAGGCAGGGAATCCACTCAAAAAGAAATGTAAAAATACTGAGGGAGACTCTTCGTTGCTACGATGATTGATTGGGATATGTCCAGGAATATTTCAGTTGACAGTGCTTCTTAAGGGAACTGAGCAGATGGCACAAGTGGACAGAAAAGGAACTGACCATTTTAATTTATATCCCATGATGTTTGTCATTGAATTTAGTAGGTGTGTAGTTAACCACCCCTATCCTCCACCCCCCTCCCCGTACTCCCCAACTTGCCCTCCAGGTAAAGAAATGAACCAGAGATGAACTGACTTAACAGGGTTCCAGTATCAAGAAAAAAAATTACTAAAGATCACTAGAAAAAGCAGATTCAATTAAGCCAACCAGAAAGTCAGGAAGTATGGGTTTAAGAATAAGATTTCCTGGAATGGAATATTGCTCCTCCTCTTTGTTGGTTATGTTACCTTAAAAGAGCTAATGGTTGGAGCTGGGAAGGTGACTCAGTGGTAGAATGCTTGCCTTGCATGCATGAGGCCCTGGGTTCGATTCCTCAGCATCATATAAGCAAAAAGATAAAAGCCGGAAGTGGCGCTGTGGCTCAAGAGGTAGAGTGCTAGCCTTGAGCTGAATTGCTGAGGGACAGCGTCTAGGCCCAGAGTTCAGGCCCCACAACAACAACAACAACAACAAAGAGCTAGTGGTTCATAAACCTAAATTTCCCTACCTCTAAAATGCCAGCCACTTCCAAAATGGTCATTATCAGTCCTCCCTCCCTGAGGATGCTTTGAGGAACAAATGACCTAAATGACTTCAGGTATCAGTCCAATGCCTGTCACATAATGAGCAATAGATATCAAATGCTATTGGGCTCTTCTTGTTCACCAGATAAAACAAATCTCTCTATATGCATGCTTTGATCGTTGTCAATAATGTCTCTTCTGGCTCCCATCTGCACCTTAGCTTTGGTCTCTCACTCCCTTCCCACCCCCTTTCTCATTCTCTTTTTCTCCTTCCCCCTCCCTCCATGCCTGCCTGCCTCCCTTCCTCCCTTCCTTCCTTCTACTTCCTTCTTTCCTTCCTTACACCTGGTATATACTTTGGTGTTTCACTGACAGTATTTTTTCCCTTCCTTTTTCTTCCCTTCCAATCCCCTATCATATTCCCCTTTTTCAACTTTCTCCCTCCCCCTCCCTCCCTCCCTCCCTCCCTCCCTCCTTTCCTTCCTTCCTTCCACCAGGTATATGCCAGCCCCTCTAGGAGCTTTTCCTAACACTACTCTTGGAGTTGGATGGCAGTTGCTGCCTGCATATCATGATGATTCTCTGACATGGATACATGTGTGGTTCTACCTTGAGGCTGCTCATTCACTTGCCTCTTCCCAGAATCTAGCACAGGATCTCACAGAGGTAGATCTACATACATGTTGCTTTAGTCAGTGGCCGACAGAACAGAGGTCATGATTTTCTTGCTCGAGAGGAGCTGCATGTTTGTTTTCAGCAGGGAAGGTCACTGAAAGTTGAGGACATTGAGTAAGTTGCCGTAACAGTCCCATTGGTGGTTCAAGATGACAACGAGCCATCAGGACTTCAAGGGAGCCAGAAGTCGAGGGCTGGCAGGGCCTCCAACAAGTCAGAGTTTTATTATGTAATATAAATAATTCTGTAATAAGAAAGAGAATTCTGGACCTAACATAGTACATTCTTATAGTGTTTTTCATGTATAAATTTATTCTTAAAACTTTCCTGGGAGGAATTATTACGATTCTCATTTGGCAGCCAGAAAAGTGAGGCATAGATTTCAGCCTCTAGAGTCTTTTTTTGATATAAGACATGGAGATTTCAATACTAAGCATTTTTCTCCCTTGTCTTGTTGCTAGCAAAACAGGCAAACAACTCAACAGGTAGAAACAGCTTTCCCATAAAGGCTTCAGTTCTGTTAAATTTTGGAAACACCTCACATCTCAATTCTACCTGCCAAAGGATGTTTCATGATTTATTCAGTCCATCTTTTAAAATGTGTACAATATTTGAAAGGTCCCAGAGCAAATGTAAAAAGATGCATGTATATGATAAAAACAATAAAAACACAGGGAAAGATCCACTTAAAAATTAAACACAAAATCCCAGGCAACGTTTGGCAGCTGATAGCATTTCCATTCTTCACATGTCCACTTAATGTGTCAGAAGACTGAATGGACAAGTCAGGCCTGTGAGAAAGAGCAGGGCAGTTGGGTCCTTGCAGGCCATGTACTGATATTCCCCTTAGTCCTCTTGCCCTTGTACAGAAGGCTCTGGAGTTCAGTGTTCACACCTAAAATTCCAGTGTTGTCACAGGAGACTGTACTTTTGAACCTATGAACTAATAAACCTGGAATTGCTTCTTCTAAATGGAATTCTGAGGGCCTGAAGGGAGCTGTGATGGTCAAGACAAAAGGAATTACCCAGAAATAAATGATGGAGCCTAAATGAACAAATAATAACTCTGCTCTTGTAAACATCATAATGTCCTTATCCTTTGGGGAAGCTCCTGTGATTTTATGAGCTTATTTTCTTACTAGCAACAAGTCTAAAGTTCCCTACCTTTGAACTATATCCCATAAAAGAATGCACAAGCCAAACAAGATGCTGCATGCAGTCCTAAATGTGTCTGCTGAAATGAGGTGCTGGAGAGTAGGCATGTCATGGGATAAAGACTGTAAATGAATGATGTCATCTTTCCAATTTGGTGCTGAAATATAAATAAACCATGTTGTTCATATGAATACCAGATCTGGGGGAAATGTACACAGAGCAATTGTGAGCGGAAGAGGCTTCTTTTGATTAGTCTGTGTTGGGAGAGAAGAGTGTGAACCAGAGATGAAGAATGAGAGTTTGGTCTGATATTCTAGACCATTGTTATTTATCTTGCATGTAACATATCCCCTAAACTGTGACCAAATTTCTTACAGGCTGTTGCTAGTGTTTGTGTCCATAAAAACAGCGGACTGATCCAGCTCCATCATTTCAAGTAGAAAATGTACCCCTCCCCCCTTTTTTTCAATCTGCATTACCCAGCCTGATTCCTGCCTAGTTATATTCGTTTCCTAGCACACTATGGTCTGGAGGGATAGGAAGCCACAAATAACCCTCTGTAATAGTCAAGTGAAAGAAAAAGAGCAGGAAGTTGTAACAAGGATCAGAGCAAGGATACCTTTTTTTTTTTTCCAGATAACTCCACACAGGCTTAGCAGGTGACCCCAGGTGTGATGTTCATATCTGGGTAGGAGGCATGGGGTGTCCACTGCAAAGCCTTCAGATTTTCTGAACTGATTAACTGACTCCCAGGAAAATCACAAAGTTGCCAAGGACCCCTTTCTGCAGCACACTTGGAAATAGGAAAATCCATGAGCTGTCCACTGAAACCAATTTCGATTTTCTTCACACCGTCTAACTCTGCCCTGACACTTCCACCTCAGATTAGCTGTATTATACACTATATTGTGACTGCTAAGAAAAACTGAATCAGATCACATTTCCTCCTCCTCCTCCTCCTTCTTCTTCTCCTTCTTCTTTCTCCTCCTCCTATTCCTCCCCTCCCTCCCTCCCTCCCTTCCTCCCTCCCTCCCTCCCTTCCTTCCTTCCTTCCTTCCTTCCTTCTTCTCTAAAGCCACAGCTACTAACAGCTAGCCTGCTGCACTTGACTTCTCTGGGTGCATTCCATGCCCAGAGTGACATCAAACTCTTATTACCTCTGGGACTCAGGTTCCTGAGAAGTTCTTCATCACCCATTCTGCTCCTCAGTCTCTTTCTAGATGAGTGCTAGGTACCTTCCAGCCACACCTCTGCCTTCACCCCTGTCCCCAGCCTCGAGATCTCTTTCTCTCTCTCTCTCTCTCTCTCTCTCTCTCTCTCTCTCTCTCTCGCTGCTTCTGTCTTGTCTTTCATCCTGGATCACTTAAATCTGAGCTATAACCTTACCTTCAATATCATGTTAACTTAAATACTATTTAGACACACCTTTCCTAAGCCTGCCTCACAACACATTGTTACAGTCTTTCACAGAATCCTACATCAACTTATCCTGCTCTATCCCTTCAAAGACTGGCAAAGAGAAATGTTTGCTTGGCTATCTCTACCACTAGTTGAAAATCTCTTGAGGGAAGCAGTATAGTTGCCACCTAACCTAGGGTCTTAACTGTGTGGCATTTAAGTGTATGAACATATGGGTGAAGGGAAGAGAGAGCATGGGCTGTTTTGGAACTGATAAGGGGGAAAACCACTCAGTGAGAGTCCGTGGTAATCAGTTAAGTATTCAACTCTCCATGTGATAGTTTAATTTTTCCTGTTGTGCATATGTTTTTGTTTCTTGTTGTGGTTATTCTTAGAAGTGGAGAGAGAAGGAGAAATGTGTTGTTTTGGAGCTATTTGTCAAGTCAAGTTGGTTTTCTTCAAGAAATATTCGGTTCCTCAGTAAATTGGATCCAATCAAATAGTCTGTCACCTGCCTACTTACCTCATTGAAAATAAGAGGGTCTTGGGGCTCTTTCTGTTCTCTAGCCTTCGGAATAGCAAGGGACTTTGGAAGGCTTTTGTTAGTACCAAAAGTCAACTGTGGAAAACTAAAACTTTATTCATTAACTAAAACCCCCAAAGAACAACATCTCTGGAAAGGTGTCAGATAATGCATCTTTTTGGACCATTCCTAAGTTTATCCAAGGTACCCTCTAAACAAAATTAAAATCCTTGATTAACTAGTAATATAGTCAATAGTTTAATGGCAATATGTAGCTATAAACATATAATATCCAAACTGTCTTTACAAATACTTTTAACAAGGTAGCAATAAAGAACCTTACTTAGATCAGCTTGATCTCAATCAAGTTAACAATAAAAATCTTCATGAATAAGATTTATTGCCGTGGGATATAGAGATAGTATTATACAACGGCATTTATGCTTTTCTTCAATCAGGTTTCTTTTCTCCCCTTTTCCCACCAGAGACATCCCAAACTTCCCAGAACTCCATTGTTTTGTTATTGCCAAATTAGAGTGAGGCAAACAGTTCTTATCTGCATATCAAAGATGGAGAAACTAGACAACAAATGGAAAGCAGGAGGGGGAGAGTTGGTTCAGAACATCACTCGGCTTACTGACCGAAGAACTCTAATTAGGTAGAACCTATATTCCAGTGTTTAGGTCATAAAATGAAGCAAGGTAAAATGAAGCAAGAGAATGAAGGAGTTAATAATGTGCCACATGAGGACTGAATGACATAAAGGCTTCTACTCTGGATAATGAACAGAAATTCATTTAATGCTGAGTTGAAGTAGCAAAAATAATTATGTACTGGGGTATATGTTTGCCCAGTACGTTCCTACGTTCCTGCTTGTGTGTGTGTGTGTGTTGCTATTGGGGCTTGTGCTTTTTTACTCAAGGTTGGTGTTCTACTGCTTAAGCCATAGCTGCACTTCTGGTGTTCTACTGGTTAATTGGAGAGAAGAGTCTCAAGAACTTTTCTGCTGGCTTCAAATTGTGATCCTCAGATCTCAGCCTCCCAAGTAGCAAGGATTGCAATTGTGAGCCACCACACATGGCAAGATAAGTTTTTTTAGAAGGCCTCTTTTAAATTAAAAAAACAAAACAAAACTGAGCTGATTATTGCTGAGCTAGCAAGCAAAGGAATAGGACTGAAAACTAGGATTCTGATTCCAGATCTCAGATCAGGTGCATCTGGAGAAGTGAAGAGGAATAAGACATGAGAAATTAGAGGAACAATTATAATTAAATATGGGAAGAAAAACAGGAAAGAAGGAAATGGTTTAAAATGGATTCCCAGTACCATCTGAATGGTGAATCAGGGGAATGGGGCAGGAAATCAATGAAGGCTCTACAGTCTCATGCCCTTGAGCTCAGATTTGAAAGTTGTCTTTGACATGAGTGCAAGGTTGAATAGCCTGGGGGTAATTATACAACAAATTTCTTGACTAGAAAATTAGGAGCCTCTATTTACATTTTTATAAACACACACAAGTTATATCTGTATCTTACTCTTACAATCTGTACAAAAGTCAAGCCCTGAAGTATGTTTCCCCAAGAGAAAAGTTCTAATGATAAAACTTTTTTTAAAATAAAGGGGACCCGAGCCGCACCTCCACCTGCAGCTTTTTCCTTATGTAAGTGGAGATGAGAGTCTGTCTCGTGGACTTTCCTACCCTGGCTGGTTTCGAACCCCGATCCTTGTATCTCAAGCCTGCTGACGAGCTAGGATTACAGGCATGAGCCACCTGTGCCCGGACTTTTTTTGTTTTTAGTTTTATTTCTCTTAAGTATTTCCGGATATGAGTGGATAGGTAGTTTCTCCAAGGTAAAGTGATAGCTTTTAGGTAATTATTGAAAGCCCAGATTATATTTAAATAGATTATATCGGATTAAATATATTTTATAAAATATACATCAGATGAGATATACTTAGCTGAATTACATTTCACTTCAAGTTGTGCAACCGTCTGGTCAACTTAGGACCAACTTGTTCTTTGATCCAGTCAGCTTAAAATTGTTGCTTGACCTAAAGCAAAACAAGTAAGTCTCGAATTTGAATGTGTTATGTAAAGAGTTTCTCATTGGTTTTCCTTCAACTTGTAGCCTGTGGAAATAGCTAACTGAACTCTTGCAACGTAGGACAAGGCTTTGCATTTCGGAGAAAACTGAAGATTCAGAAATACTACAGGAAATTGCAGTGGAAGGAAAAGAAGGGTCAAACGTCCCATGAATCCCAGTTCACAGATCACTACCCGGATCATCTGAAGCATCTCTATCTAGCTGAAGAAGAAAGGCTAAGGAAGCAACAAAGAAGAGTTGGCCAGCATTTGCCAGAATCAGCAACTGACCAGCCTTTGCCTGAAGAACACTCTAACACTGATCAGACTTTGGTCGAGGACCAGTATTGTGGTGTTCACCAGCTTCGGCCAGAAGAACAAGATAGCCAAACAGTAAATTCTGTGACTATTCCAAAGAAAAATAAAAAGAAAACTTCAAATCAGAAAGCAAAAGAAGAATATGAACAGATACAAGCTAAGCGTGCTGCTAAGAAACAAGAATTTGAGAGGAGAAAACAAGAGAGAGAAGAAGCCCAAAGACAGTACAAAAAGAAAAAAATGGAAATGTTCAAAATATTGAGCAAAAAGACTAAAAAGGGCCAACCAAACTTGAATTTACAAATGGAGTATCTTCTTCAAAAAATACAGGAAAAAAGTTAGGCATTAAAGGTTGAAGTAGTTCTACTGCCTCTTGGGCTCTTTTGTGCACATACTGGTACGCCTCTAAGCAGTGGGCTTTATAGTTAGCAAAGCTGAATTATTTTGCAGATGTTTGTGTTCTTGTTAAATTTTCTGTATATGTACTACATGGTAGGACTTGCTTCTTATTTATTTACCTCTGAAGGGAGGGGGCTTGAAGAGCTTAAAATCCTTTAGTTTGGTAGATAAAGCTGAAACTTAGAATACTTTTGTACTATACATAAAATTTATATGAAATAAAATGTTTTTAAAATAGCAAAAAAAAAATAAAATAAAATAAAATAAAGGGGGAGGGGGTAGCATATAAAAGTTGTTTTTGTTTTGTTTTGTTTTTTTGCTTTTCCCCATGAGCTGCTATGCCCGGCACCAGGTCTGGTCCTTTCCCCATCAGTCTCATCTGGCCACTGAGGACTTCCTTAATTTTAATTCTATATACTATGTTTTCAACTAGATCTCTGTCACTTAAATTATTGGCTCAATGATTAAGCATTATGAAAACTAATAGGTCTCTGTTACACAATAACATAGCAGTTCATCAGAATCAGTTGTTTCAAGTGTACCTTACTAACAAAAAGTATCAGTTCATCTAGTGTAAAATTTTATAGTTCTGTCAGGCTTAATTGTGAATTTTGTTCTGCATCCTAAGTAAAATTATAATAATGTTCTCAAGTCATCAACAACATATATGTACTTTCATGAACTATGAATTTTTTAATTAAATTTTACATGCTAAACATGATTTTTACATGAATGATACATTGTTTAAACTATCAAATGTCAGTATTTTCCTACAATTGTATTATAAAATGTACATTATCCCTAAATGAAGTTTTATTTTAAAAATTAAAAAATGTAGACATGGGATACACATAGTGTGTGTAAAGAATATGCACGTTGGATGTGCATAGGGTCATTTTCTAGATGTGAGAACAGAAGCTCATGTGTTTGAAATGACTATTCATCATCTTATTTCTCACTATAACATATCAGTTTGGGTCATTTGGGAAAGAATTTGCGAGCCCTAAGTTATATGCTATACATATCACATTGTGTCAGTCCTGGAGACAGGCCTGGCTCCTGCCATCTATGTGTGTAATAACTACCTGCTCACCTTTCCCTGTCTCTCTCTCACTTCCTCATTCTCTGACCATGATTTTCACAGTCACCTCCCAAACAGACAACCCGCATCAAATCTCTGTGTTGGAATCTTTTCTTTTCTTTTCTTTTTTTTTCAGAAATGCCAGCTAAAAGTTTTTTAGAATGATCAACAAATGCTTATACCTAACTTTTAAACATGATTAACATGTCTGCCACTTTGAGAAGAAATAGGATGCCCCAAGGATCTTGGACAGTAATTATAGCTGCAGGCATCATCTTGCTTGTCCTGCTACAGCCACTGCAGTACCTGGGGGGAGAGCTATTGATATAGAAAGTATTGTACACCCAGTTTATAATATGGAGCTTAAGTCCCATAACTATGGCAGAAAGAAGACAGGCCCTTTGTGGCGGAACCACCTGTTAACATCAGCTTACTTAGCCCTCTCTGTGTACCAAGCATAGTGCTCTCCTGTGTCATTCAGTCACATCAGTCCTGTGACATATACATACTGTGACAAAGGCAGAACCCCAGTATAACAAAAAGCCATGCGAATGCATATGCCTGAGTATCAGGCAGAGATGATCATTAGCCCCACTTAAGGGATGAAGAAACTGAGGTACAGAGAGACTGATACTCTCACCCAAGTTCAAGCAGCTGGCAGATTTGGGACTGTGAGTGCAGTACCTCCCATGGATCATTGTACAGTAGTGCTCAGATCCACAGAGAATGGCTTCTTTCTAAGAAAATCAAGATTGATCTGGAAATGGGCTGCCTCTGAACACTGATTCCACCCAGAGCTTAAAAGAGAAGCAGCTCATTTTAAAGTTTCTCTGTGTATGAAAAGGTGAAAGTCACAGTCTCACTGAGCCCCTAAAGAGACTATGTTATTGACCAGACCTAGTGTAAACTCAATGCAACTTGACTTATTGCTCAACTACCCCCATTCTAGCAACTATAGACTCCCCTGAAATTGCTAACATTCTGACATCATTGTAGGCAGTGGATGATGGGGGAAGGGTAGGCCCTAGAAGTTTCCACCACAAAGTTACTCAGTTAAGCCTAGGTCTGTTTAATTAGGTAGTGGACAGCACATGCTATACTTAGCCTTTAAACACTTGTAAAGTCTTCTTCATTCATTTATCTTACTTGTCAGTGACAAGCTCCTCAAGAACTGTAACAGTATGCAGAGCATGAAGAGCCTGAGTAAACAACACATATTTTATGTGGAGTCTAAATTGTTTCAACTCAGAGAGTCAATAGAGTGCCTTGAAGCGGGGGTTGGAAACACACAACCAGGCTCTTCTACGAAACTGTGGAAGCATTCTGTGCATGGTCTGTTATTAGCTTCTTCACAAAGCACATTTCAAAATCAAATGCCAATGTCCTAACTAAAGAAAAAAGACCAAAAGAAAAACCGGGAAGAAAGGAGGACAGACAAAAGGAAGGAAGGAAGGAAGGAAGGAAGG